CATTAAGATATATCACCGTTTTAGAAGATGACAAACCAGATCAAAATTATAACGTCGTTATATAGATAATATATAGATTAATAGATTACGCCTAATCAATTTAAAACAGGCTATAGACCCTCAGGAACCAAAGCAAGACCACCTTCCTGGAGATATGTTAGCTCCAACTGCCCTTCTGTCCTGATTATATTCCTTGGTTTGGACGTACGTCACTGCCGCCCTCCTACCACATCATGCTGCCATAACTGAAATACTGTCCAGAGCGGCGTTAAACAATACTCACTCACGAATTTCACAATTTCACAGACTTTGATATAGGCTTTCCTCGGGAAGATAAAATACGAAACACGACGACACTCCATTAAGTACACACCAACGTTGTCAGCATCCACTAAAGCTGCGATGAATGCAGGTTTGATGACTGGATCTGGATCACTGCAAAGTTCAAACTTTGCCAATGTTTTAAGGTTTTGCTGAGCGTCCAGCTGCTGCCCAAAACCTTAGGAATAATAGCACAGGGTCCAAGTGACTGATCTCCTTGTGGTTGTCTGCAGTGGTCTTGTAAGTCACAGAATCCAGTATATGCATCGTTTGCATTTACAGATTTACTTGCTGTGACACCATTTGCAATGTTTCGGAGATCAGGATCAGGCTGAAAGGTGTCGCTATCTTGAAGGAAGCTGAGTAGTTTCCATGCTTCAGTCTTGTCTCGTTTCTGTCTGGTATTTGACATGTCCTTGTGCAGATCATAATTTCCGTTTCCGTCATTAGTTAACTCTTACATGCATTGCATATCTCTATGCATGACGACATTAACATCAGCCAAACCAGCCTTTAGGTTTCAGCCATCCCTGTCCCTGTGGTCAATCCACGGCTTATCTTAAATGGGTTATAGAATCAACAGTTATTCACTGCGAACTTGTTGCACTGGGCGCTAAAACTCGTAAATCATATGTTTTACAGAGGATAAAACCATCCTTGTGATCGCTTTGTGAAAGGGTCGAATATGTGACAAAGATTTCAGGATCCAAGAACTTTGATGAGTAACTTTATTGCGAATATTCTACGTTTAACTACAGGTATAATAAATGATAGAAGACAAAAACAAAATAACGCGCACAAACAGTATGCATTGATTATACACAACAGAATGAATTATATCTTGAAACTATAATTCATCGATTCCTTCTTTATCTGATAATTAAACATTAGCAATACCTCACGGGTCTGTCCGCACTACATTCTTCCATTGCTCGTGAATACATACAGATCATTTGCAATGCAGACCCTGTGTTTTAACGAATCATCTACACATTGCTTCAGTTTTAGGCAAATGTAGGTGAGGTGAGGTGAAATTGGGTTTAACGTCGCGCCAAGATTATTGCACTTATATAGCGACGTGCATGCACGTGTGTGTGTGTGTGTGGCTGCTTGTACTAGTCCGGACTGATGCCGATTTATAGTGCTAGCACACTGAGATACCATGCCGCAGTTTAACATGAATACCACACTCAGACACAGTATACTGACCCCGAGCCGACCAGTCCTTGTTTTAGCCCCTTAATGCCGAGCGCCAGACAGGGTAACAACAAGTACCTTATTTTAACGTCTTTTGGTGTGACGCGGCCGGGGATCGAACCCCGGACCTACCACTAGACCACGGAGGCGGTCAGGCAAATGTAGGGTTCGTACACAGTTCGTGCACGGAGTAGAGCTCATTTGATTTCCTTGAGTTATTAAGGGATGGACCATTTTATATTCTTGCGAGCGAGGGCTGGGATTTTATCGAAAAAAGTAAATATAACACGAAAATTCTGAATTCTGAATATCGGCCGTGTGTTTTCACGGGTGATGAAGGAACGTTGTGTATACGGGACCTGTGAAGGATGGACTACGATAATGTAAACGATTCTTCATTGGAACAAGGGAACCGCACTCAGCAATATTATACAGTCACGTGTTATTCGAAATTAAATATAATTCCACAATATCTTAACTTCATTGTATGCCAGAGTATGTATTATGCAGTATATGAGACGCAGTCCTTCAAATATGAGTTTGCTATTACATTTCATCTTTTTTCTAGTATACATTTATATGTAGGTACATTTAAATTGCTTCTTATTTACACAAACTAATTAATTATCAACACATCGTTTATGCATATAAGACCTTGATATGTCAATTTCATATAATAATATTCTGTTGAATATTCCTTTAACGGTTAATATATTGTTAAATTTATATATTTTTATTACTAATTGAGTCACATGTATATATAATAGGTTATTGCTATGCCCTCTTTGTCCACTAGATATGTATTAGGCATTATACAGGCACTAGAACTTTTCTCCGGATAATATTTGCATCAGTACTGTATATGCAGACATCACTAGAAACCACCTTCGATCGATACTATGCACTTTCCATGTGCTGTTAATCACCTCACATTGGTATATTCGATACATGAACAGATTAAATTAGACTTTTATATGTGTCAATACTGCTTTCATGTTACAGCAGGGCATGGGTGGCTCGTTTGTCGAAGAGGTCGTAATTCACTCTGCAAATGACGGGTTCGGATCCCAACTTTGCCCTGATTATCATTATTGGTCTGTCGGTGCCTAACCCGTATACGTAGATTTTACCATCCTCTATATCTATGAGGTCGCATTCCCGTGGGCCTCGCGATCTCAAAACTACCGCCCTTGACTCTCATTAGCCAATTTGATTTGCTACACTACTCGGTCTAACTGACCAATCAGAATGCGAGTTACAAGCCATCCTCAATGCTGGGTTGCGATATCTCGACGTTTAATTGGTTGGTAAAATGTCACTGAAAATAAATGCGGGTAATTTGAGATGGCGAGATCCACGGGAATGGATCCAGGGGAATGGATCCAGGGGTTGGTGTAGGTTAACCAAAATGCGAGACCTGGAGATATAGAGGATGACTTTTTTTTACCAAAATGGTACATGTCTACGACCTTCGTCACTTCGGGGTTTCCTCCCATGTCAAGCTGTCACGACGTGATATAACTGAAATACTGACAGTGATGGTGCGGCCTTAAATCTAACTAACTCCTTCTACACTCACTCATGGTAAGGATGTGACTTCGTGAAGCAATGAGCAGTGGAATGTTCAGCATATGCGACCCACTCTTATAATATCCAACGGAACCCCTCGGCGCCCAATTTGCATACAAAAGCTTCCTTTTCTGTTTGTGAGCCGGTGAGAATCACTCTCAAGCCATGCATGGTATATACGAGTGTATTATATCGCCATTCTGTTATGATCCAAGACCCATTCACCACAAAACGCGCTTCGGAAGTGACGTTACCACCTCCATCTTATCAAAAGCGTAGCACAGAATTTCCCTCGCTCATGTGTGCATTTTGATTGGACCACTATTTAAAGGTACATTTGTTTTGGACTCAATGGGTCCAGGTCCTTTATCATAATCGAATGGATTATCGATGACATCAAGTCATGAATCTTAGCTATTAGAGGTTGTTCGTCACCCTAACATACGTGATAATACCTACAAAGAGGCAATTGCTATATGTACAACAAACTAGAAGGGTATACATCATGTATAAACATTGAAAAGGAGACGGTTGTAACATACTTTGACAAAGAAGAATATAACTAGAAACAATAATAAGCTGAATGAACTGCTAGACGAGCTAGGATATTGGTGTTAGTATCAACTTTGCAATCCTTTCTGTATCTTCTGATTTCTTTCACACGAGATATATCCAACATCATAACGAGGGATGAACCCCTGTTGTCTGCCTCACAGGTCTTATACATCCCTGTCGTTAGAGAAATGTTGCAAAATGATATACATTTCATAACAGTATCACAAATGTACGGATCGGCATAGTACATCGAACCCTCTTAAGAGCAAAAAAGGGTAGATGTCAGAGCCACTGTAATTTGATATTGTGCTCATTTGGGCCATTTTCAATCACGATGTCATATGACGTCATAGCTAATCTGGATACTAGCGTAAACAAACATGGCGTCTCACTGAATCAGAGTTGAAACGGAGTAATGTAAGAACAAAATATACAAGCATATCAGATCAATGTTGCCAATGTTCAACAATATACACATGCGATAAACAGTTTGCTAATCGGATTAATTCAAAGTTATTAGTGCTCCTTATCTATTTACGTACACACAATCAATACAGTAAACTACGTTTATAACGATCAAGTTTATAACGAACTGACGGATATAACCAACTGTTTTGTGGAGGGCCTGTTCATTTGGTGTGTGGACCCGTGAACATCCAGAGTAGAATAGGTCTTCAGCAACCCATGCTTGCCGTAAATGGCGACTATGCTTGTCGTAAGAGGCGACTAACGGGAGCGGGTGGTCAGGCTCGTTGTCTTGGTTGATGCATGTCATCGTATCCCAATTGCGTGGATCGATACTCATGATGTCAGTCACTGGATTGTCTGGTCCAGACTCGATTATTTACAGACCGCTGTCATATAGCTGGAATATTGCTGAGTGCGGCGTTAAACAACAAATAAACAAACAAACACATCGTTTGCTGTGTATAGGTTGTATATATGTTTATAACAAACTTAAACATTAGTGGTTTATAGTTCGTTATAAACGTAGCGTACTGTATCTATATTCATAACAAATTGACATGTACTATGTGTTAGGATGTCCATACTCTGATATTTCTCATTTCAAGATGGAGTTTGTCATGCTGCCCTCAGGAAAATAGCTGCAAAGTTGCTGAATCAGGCGGTAATAAAAAAACAACAACAGATATTTCAAGATGGCGACCCAAAGGGATGAAATCCACAGGGAACTTGTGTTGAGTTTGTTACATGCTGACAAGTTTAAAATCACATAAGGACAAAATTAAACAAGCAATGTAAAAGAATAACATTCGCGTCAGCTTATATCAAAGGAAATATTAAACCGATTGTGTAATTAATTATCCTATTTTGAATAACGTTATGCGTGTTTAATATTTCAAAATTGTCAATTTTCCCAAAATGTGTTTGAGCTATCATTTCCGGAAGAGATACTAGTATAAAGATAATTAAATTATGAAAGCTCTTCGCGATCGCAGAATAGATTTTGAGCGTCGCCGTTTTTATTTCTTGTACATCGATATATTTTTGTAAAATTGTATACTTCTTTTACGTATATACATTGAATGTAACGGTATATGCCTGAACCGTCATGAGTTATCTCCCTTACACTGTGCCCGATCGCGTTTCCGCAAACAGCCCCTCACTCAGTTCAAATGTTTGTTGTTAAGCGCTCGACTCCAGCTATTTGACGGTGACCAGTAAAATACCGAGTTTGGACCTGACAAACCAGTGATTGATACAAATAGAAAAACGTCCCATGCTGTCGGGGTTCGATGAAACGCCGTGTCATGGAGCATGACCACCGCTTTCGCTTCTTACGACAAGCATAGGTTGCTGGGGATAAATCTGTTGACGTACAAGTTTATATGTTGTGCCGCTTTCCTCTGTGTTGTATGATTAGGTGGAGGTCGTCCGGAAAATAGTATTGTGTAGAGTTAAAGTTTCCTTCGCATTCGGTGTTCTTCAGACCTGAAAAAATATCAGTTCATCGAATTTAATTATGGTATTATAATTACAATAAACAAAAAAGAACACAACTAAAAAACAACAAAATCTACAGACTTCAGAGAACATACTGATTTGTTCTTATAACATACTGATCAGAAATAAAACTTTCATTCTTAATGTGCACGTTTACACTGATGTTTAATCACTCGTACTGACGATGTCACGTTCCTTTTACCGAGGTATTTCTTTACCGTAAGTGTTTTGCTGATCGTCTTGTTAGCGAAAGTTTGGTCTTTGGATGGAATACTGTAACAATTAAACACAAAATAAAAGTTAAAAACACAATTTGTCAATGGAATACAAAACATTGCGCGATAAAGGCTTACAGAGTGAGTGAATATGGTTTTACGCCGCTTTTTGCAATATTCCAGCAATATCACGGCGGGGGACACCAGAAATGGGCTTCACACATTGTACCCATGTCGGGAATCGAAACCGGGTCTTCGGCGTGACGAGCGAACGCTTTAACCACTATGCTACCCGACCGCCCCAAAAGGCTTACAGAAGGTAGGAATAGGGTACTGAGACCGCATCACCAAGATGTTCAGAAACACTAGGTGAGGTGAGGTGAGGTGAGGTGGGGTGAGGTGAAATGAACACTTAATTAACACTCAATGCCCGATGAGACGCTATGTTTTAATCGGACCGCCTCCGTGGTCTAGTGGTAGAGCGTCCGCCAGGAGAGCGGAAGGTCCGGGGTTCGATCCCCGACCGCGTCATACCAAAAGACGTTAAAAGATAGTACTTGTTGTTAACCTGTCTGGCGCTCGGCATTAAGGACTGGTCGGCTCGGAGTCAGTATACTGTGTCTGAGTGGGGTATTCATGTGAAACTGCGGCATGGTATCTCAGTGAGCTAGCATCAGTCCGGACTAGTACAAGCAGCCACACAAACACACACACGTCGCTATATAAGTGCAATAATCTTGGACGCGACGTTAAACCCCCATTTCACCTCACCTCATGCTCATGTATGCTGATCGTGAATATGAATATGAATATGATCTACATAAGTAATATATCTATAGCCCATCTTATCATTATACGGGGTACGAGGGCCCAAGGCGCTGCAATGTCCTCAGGTCCGAACCTTAGGTGTGTCACAAGTTCGTTTCAAGGGTTGTCAGCACAATACCCTCGGGTTTCACCACAGTTCATCTCTTCCCATACGAAGCCGCAAAATAACTGATATACTGTTCAATATACAGACTACCCCAGCTGCATCTTACCGCCTCGTCCGTATCAATGTATTCGTACACCGGGCGCCCTTGACTGTAATCGCTACTCAGCAGCCTGGACTGTGGTCTTGATGTCTGACCAGTGGGCATGCTGGTGTACGGGCGCGCACTGTCTTGGTCTCTAGAATTTGGCCTCATCTGGCGTTCGTCCTCACGGTCATAGTCGGGAGACATATCCTCGGGGAACCTGTATTGGGAGGTCCCAAGGCCAGACGACTGCCCCGATATACCCCTGCCTGAAAATGCAATTAATTGATGCTGGCTTCAATTTACAGCTCGCGGTAAGGACATTTGAAGCATGGATTTGCCGAGAAATCCAACTTGAAATCAAAGATTCCCCTTTTCTGATGAAATATTAATGAGTTTAGCGTTATGACGAAAGCATTACTGAATGACACTTGCAGATGTAACAATGCAACGGTAGCACTGGTTACAAACACATGTGACGTCAATATGCGCGGTTTCGGTGTGCGGTTCTCGATAGGAAGTGTTTGTTTGTTGTTTAACCCCGCACTGAGCAGTATTCCAGGTAAATGACGGCGGTCTGTAAATTATCGAGTCTGGACCAGACAATCCAGTGATTGACATTATGAGCATCATCAACCAAGTCAGCGAGCCTGACCACCCGATCTCGTTAGTATCCTCTTACGACAAGCATAGTCGCCTTTTACGGCAAGCATGGGTTGCTGAAGACCTATTCTACCCCGGATCTTCACGGGTCTCGGTAGGAAGTGACAACCGTCGAGTCGATGACTTGCGGTGTATACACGTTTGCTAATACATGTAGATACATACAAGAAGCATTATGCGCCAGGTCAACACAGTGGTAGTCGTTGTTGTATTGTGCCATTGAGCACCTAGCCTAACACTAGCTAGTCTAAGAGTGAGACGTTCCCTATCCTTCTCTCTGAGGTACCATAGTCTCGATGGTATAGGCCTTGGATCCTGTCGGATCCATTGTGAATGCATCTTCCCGAGGCAAGTGAGTAAACTGACTTTAAAAGTCCAGTTTCCACCCTTGCCGAACTAGGCTGGAATTACTTGGCTCGATCGTAGCGCCACCAGTGGCTATTACAAGTTATGTCCCTTCTAAGCCTCACACAAAATGGGTGCGCCCAAGTCAGGATGATCTGATCGATTATCAAGATCTATATTGTGATAAAACGGGTCTTCCATCGCGAAATGCATCAAATCACGTGAGCACTTTGATTCAAAACATGAAAAGATTTGGAAAATATCTGCTGACAACGAGTTGGCGGTGCACATGCTTTGCAAATCCTGCAATCGATCGAAATCTGCTCGACAGTTTACGAACCGGATTTCGATTTCGGTGCGCAATTTTGATTGGACTATGCAGAGACTCGTTATGTAACTCCATAATACCAGCCTAGTTCGGCAAGGGTGGAAACTGGACTTTTATAGTCAGTTAACTCTCTTGCTTCGGGAAGATGTTGTGAATGCTGTGGGGTCGGCTATTAACCACGATTGACCTTGTCCACGTAGTCACTACAGCCAAGTGTCAAAGCATCCGCCGCGTGGCATTGAAAGTCGTAAGGCCGTTGAATCTTGAAGCTTGTTATTCTAATTCCTAATATGGTAACGCGTTTAGGATTTTTTCTCTCTTTCAATTGCCATTAATTGAAAACATACTGAACAGTTTCATAACATACCAAACATGGAGGCGGGTTCCATCTCTCCTCGTCTATCGTCACCATGGTTACGGCTCCTGTTGTCGGCGTAGCGGGATGCGCGGAAGTCGTCCACTCTGCTTCTTCTACTGTTTGACTCCTGCTCTGATTTGTTCTTTTGCTCCAGCCACTGGTATGAAGGGAGAACCAGGTTTATATACTTATTGACAAAGGTCGTAAGTAGAAGTGACAAAACTCCTTCCATATTCATACGAAATGTCAAATTTGGAAATATCATCTACATATCTACTGTTAAAACCATGAAAGCTGTACTAAAACTCTAAATGTTGTAACCCTGATCACACAACTTTTTAGCAAGAGTCGTATGGCGCTTTTTGAAATCTTCTTAGAAAGAGCATGTTCGATTGTACCTCAGAAGTTGTGAAATTTAGACACCAAAGGCTGGTGTTAAAGTTAACTTCATAAATGAAATTACAAGAAATTATTTATGCCCTTAACATCAACACCGGTCACATTTTGTCCCGTGTAACAAAGGCTATACCTCAGCTTCAGTTGGCACAAATGCAAAGTCTTGTCATCTTAAGCATATCTGCGATAAGAAGTCCTCCTTAACCTGGTTCTCCAATTTAACCTGGGCCCTCTTGCACAAAGCGACCTTAGCTCTAAGACTATCGTAAGCCGATGTTAAAGTATGGGAGTTACGATCATCTTAGCGCTAAGATCGCTTTGTGCAAGTGGGCCCTGAAGTTTACTCTTCGAAGATGATAAGAAACCGACATGGGTGTCTTTTTCTTTTTGCACATATCTTCGCTGGACCTAGTCTGCACTGTGAGTCTAGCGAGTCTACCACAGCAAACGTGCTTTGCTTTGTCAACCTATATGACCACAGGGGCACGGCAGAAACCTTTGATTGTGGGTTCGAATCCCGGTTCGCCCCGATTATGTTTCAAGGTTTGTCAGCACCATACCCGTGCTCGTGGGTTTCACCGAAGTGGGAAACGTCTGAGACCTACATCACTTCGGGCTTTCCTCCCACATTAAGCCTACACACCGTAATATAACTGTAATACTGTTAAAAGCGGCGTTAAACTCACGCACTCACTATATGACCGCACCACCAAGTGTATAATTAACCTACGTTTCGACTATTGTTTTGGGTTGATCGTAAGGTCAATTAGTTATTCATAATCGTATCAAATCTTCTCATCATTTTACTTTTGGACAATTGCTGCAGATTTTTTTGTGTGCAGACTTAACACATGTCAGCTACCTGTCCCGTCTGCGACGTGATCCTCATGCAACAACTATCTAACACCCCTCATCTCATCCTCATCCTCAACACACCTACCTCCTCATATCCTTGCCCCCCATCATTCCGCCCACTGTACCGGTACTCGTCCTTGATGTCTGCACCATAGTTGAATCCACCGGCCCGACTATTGCTGAAAACATCTCGCTCGAACCGCTCTGCCAGATGTATATCATCTTCTTCTTGGTGTTTCCTATATTTGATATGACGTATAACGAGAAGAAAGCATGAAATACACAAAACGTCGTTTGAAATTTCATAACAGATTGAAGAAATAAACAACGAGTGGAAGTTGTTTATAGTTTGGTACTTCCCTTATCGTCTCACAAATTTGACGTCGATTAACAATACCTTTTCTCCCAAAACGGATTGCCAAAGCCTTCACATTTTTTGTGCGATCTTTCGGCCATAGCGTTTATCTGCGTTGCCTAGCTACAACTATGGGGAACAACTCAACAGACACGTACATCTCATACATAACGTCGTCACATTTACGACGTAATCAAGTTGCGTGTGCATGTTCGAATCTCCAGAAATGACGTCATGACAGAACAATGTTTTATCGTGAAATAAACCATGCTTCGTTCTTCATTGGATTTTTTTCGATTTATCGCGTAGCTATTTTTATATATGCCATCTTACTTTTGAACAATAAATGTTCCGTTTGTGGTGTTGGAGTTCATCTGAAGGCAAATAAAAAGCATCATGGATAATACAGGTGAATCATACAAAGTCATTGTACATGACTCAGTTTCACTCTCTCCATGACACACAGATCCTTGCTGTCCATATGGTAGATAATCCGCCATGTGGATACATGCTCAAACTGACAATGTGGTTATTTTGCAAACACAGTCGTGACGTTCTTAACCGCAAGTAGAGCCATATTCTGTTCACCCTGCCACAAGGGCAATAACCGTATCGGTCACACTGACACAGCTTATCATCTTGCATTGTCGCGATTTGTGTTTACACCTACATCAGGACATCATGAGCGTCGTATCCGGGCACTCGAGCCACTATACACAATCTGGTGGGTCTGGCGGCACATTGTTTCGCGAATTGCAACAAATGCAGGAAATAAATGCAGGGAAATCTGAATGCAGCGATCATCTGGCAATTGGTCCTTTTATTCGCTTCTGATGATATAAACTATGCTTACCCCAGCTTGTTACGAGGGCCGATGGGGTGGTATGGTAGACTAGTGGTTAAAGCACCGAAGGCCTGTATTCGATTCGCCATATTACAGGGATATTTGGGGAATATTACTACAAGCGGCGTAAAATAGAACTCCTTTTTCAGAGACCACCACCTCAATACTAATTTCGGTTTCGTTACACACTTAAATACCGTCTCATGCTGCAGTTTCATTGATACAGTTTTCAACGCTGTCAGGTGTTTCCTATCGTCAAAATAGTAATATTCGTTGGCGCTAGACTCAATAATTGATAGACAGCCAACATACTGTCAAATCAACAGCGCCATTTAATATTCTGGTGGAGGTGGGTGGTCTGGGATTTGTGTTGGAGAGTATTTTTATGGTAACTTCTTCAAAACACGCTGTTGTTTTCTGCGAAAGGAGACGATGTGTAATTTACTGTTTTTAGCACAACACATTTGTTTTTCATGATATGAAACATTTCCAATTTGTATTTTGTAAAACCTGAGGACCACAACCTCCCTTGCCCTTATAATTAACCCCGAATACCAAATGGTCGATTCGAAACAATTCTGTGGTTTCGATGATAAATAAACGCGTCAAATATATTGCATATTATGAACGTAGACCATTGGACCTATATAAGGCGAACCACTTGCTCTTGGGTGAGTTTGGTTTAACTCTGCTTTCAACAGCATTTCAGTTATATCACGGAGTGATTCAGTCATGCAAATCACCACTTTGGTGAAACCACGAGAACGGGTATGGTGCTGACAAACCTAGAAACATGATCAGGGATTCGGACCCACGTCATTATACGTACATATACTTGTCTGGATTCTTGCCCTTCCTTCTTGAATAACACATGCACCCTAGGGCGATGGAGAGCAGCAGAATTACCCCTCCTCCTACTCCACCAGCTATGCCAGCGATGGTGCCTTTCTCCATATCCAGTCTTTCTACTTTCTTCTCGCACTTCTTACCGCCGTAAACGAAGTGTTCCGTTATCTCGCAACTGAAAACATGTGCCATATACGTGTACTCTAAATATAGATTACTATACCAGTCCCCGTCGAGTATTTCAAAACGAATCTAAAGAGCGAAAGCGAAATACATTTTTTTATTTCTCACTTAAGCTTTGCACACCATCTAAATTCTACTTTTATAAAAGACGTCGCCGGTATATATAATGGTTCCGTATGATTACAACATTCGAAGCTGATGATTAGATTATGGGCTGTTCTCTCAAAACGTAACCAAGTGAATTTAATGAAAAAACTTGCTTCATAATATCAAATTCGATTCAATGTTGGGGAGGAGAGGCCGGGAGGCGGTTTATACGTTTTAAACTTGATTGTAATTGCCGTTAAGCTCAACAACAGTGCACCAAAGATTCTCAACTCGAGAATGCATCGTTGGGCATTTCCAACGCCTGCCCACTTGGTCTGAAAGGAGCTACTCTCATTGCAATATGAAATGCGAGGTCGTAGGTGAGTGAGAATGCGGCTTTCAGCAATAGTCCAACAATCTCATGGCGGGGGTACACCAGAAATGGCCTTCACATAATATACCCATAAGGGGAATCGAACCCGGGTCCTCGGCGTGACGAGCGAACGCTTCAACTACAAGGCTACCTCACCCCGCCCCTTCCCAATATTTAATCTAATATTTTGAGTGTGGTTTTAACGTCGCTTTGAACAAAATTTTAGTTATGTCATGGCCTGTATGCTTTATATTGAAGGAATCTAATGCAAGTCTGAGACGTTTCCCATATTTCTGTCAAACCAAGAATCATAGTGAAGGGGAATCTGTGATTTGAAAATATCCCACCAAATTTGAGATAATAAATATTCAACCAAAGGGACACAGCTTTACACAGCGAAATACGGCACCTTAGAAGACAAGGCCAACCTTAAACAAAGATATACTAGCATGCAAAATGTTGCATGTATTAAGAAATTGCGATCCTCAGACGTTAACAAGACTCATATTTTACAGAAAATTCTTCACAGATTCGGTCATAACTACAAAATTCACCAAGAAAATTACAAATGGCAGTACTTAACTCGAGTTTAACTTTAATTACTTTAGTTGTTGGGAAATTTCGTTTCGTTTCCTGTAATGAACAAATAAATTCCAAAACAATCATAGCCGGTTGTTGTCAAAAGATTCTATTAGTTGTCGCGTTTGTATATTTTTACGCCTCGGTCAGCAATATCCCAGCTATATCACGGCAACCAATAAATAACGGAGTCTGGGCCAGGCAAACCAGTGGTTGATAGCATGATCAACGATGGAAGAGGATCCTGAACCGAGTCACAAAGCTATTTGGAAAAGCACGAGGTACCTGTGATCTATTCTGACCCGAAATCCCCATAACCGTTGTTATAGAGAGCCACTGTACCTGCACATAGGATGTCCATTTGTGTCCACGGAACACATGCCGTGCTGACAGTAACCAGGTGTACATATAGATTTGCATTTCGGTTGTGAAGTGGTGCCTCCTGTACACGTAAAATTATCGTTGCACATTTCCTCCGCATTGCATTTATCCTCCATGGATTTCGTGACTGAAATAGACAACACAAACAGGAATGATGCTATGAAATCTACATAAAACAATACGGTGAGTGATTACTGTGTAACATCGCCATTCAGCAGACCCGTTAACAAAGAAAACACCACAGCACTTGTTTCATTGTCATCCATATTGGCGACATGCTTATATTACCGTGTGCTATATTACCGACGTTTATAAATCTATGCTTATCCAGCAACATCCAAATTTATTAAAACAATATTTAGGTTCCACACAGCAAACTTGACCTTATCGTTATAACAAAAATAATGTGTATTATTATAAACATTAGTATAAAATATAACTGTGACTAGTAATTTCAAAGTTTGCAAATATCAGTGCATACATGTATCATGTTGTATCACAACTTTGTCAAAATGCACCTTAATCTTTTTTGGAAAATGGGCTCTTAGATACTTAATAGAAATTGTCAATGCAAGAGAATAACCAGTCTAACTTATCGAGCCAAACAGATTTAAAGAGCAAAATAGCTGTGAAAAGTATATAAATTGACCACTGAAGATCAGTAATAACACCAGGTGTTCGCGAAACGATCAACATGTCCTGCCGTACATATACTACCCGACCCGTGAAGATCCGGGGTAGAATAAGGTCTTCAGAAACCCATGCTTGCCGTAACAGGCGACCAAGCTTGTCGTAAGAGGCGACTAACGGCAAGGGGTGGTTAGGCTTGCTGACTTGGTTGATGCATGTTGTTTGTTGTTTAACGCCGCACTTAGCAATATTCCAGCTATGACGGCGATCTGTAAATAATCGAGTCTTGACCAGACAATCACGTAATTGATGAAGTCATCGTTTCCCAATTTCGTGGATTGATGCTCATGATGTCAATCACTGGATTGTCTTGTCACTATAAATGGCCGCGTTGACGTCTGTCTTGTAGGTTAGATGTGGATATATAATGGTACTGAAGTAAAAACCTACTTTTGTCGATATCAGAGTCGTTGAGTTCCAAGCTAGCGTTATGGTTGAAAATGGTCACATTTTTCGTCGCGTTCCTGACTGGCCCCTTTAAAGCTGTCTGTACGTCTGTCGCATTTACATCAGCCTTTATGATGACATTGTGAAGGACTCCTATGCACCCTTCGCTGAAAAAAATTGATGTAGTTCCAGTGTCAATTAACCACTGGTCTGAAAACACATAGGCAATACATGTTTCAAAGTTTGTTCTCAAAACTGCTCAGGCCAAACGGAATGGTAACAACATGATTACTCATTGAACGGTGTTATTTCCTACTGGATCAAAACATGTCAATGAGTGCGATACATGTTTTGAAGTACAAAATACCAACTCCATTGTCTTCATCTCAGTTCAGAACAAGCAAACCAAAGGTTGTACACGTATTTCAACACATAAACTAGAGCTTCGAATTACAACGAAAGATCATTTATTGGTGAAAGAAAACGTAAAAGTAAATTTTTTTTATTTTTTTTGGTATTTTTACCGAATGAAGAATGAATGTGCGGCTTACCAATATTAGATATAGACTTCGCAGTGAAGGACGTAAGAAATCAGATATGATACTTACAAGAACCCAGTGACTTCAATATACAAGAACCCAGGTATTGCTATGTACACTGCTCTCATCTAGAACAAAAGTCATATACTAAATACTGCATTCAAGCCCTCTCTCAAATAGATAAAATCATCTTCAGACAAGTCCTTACGAAGTTCAGATGTTCATGCCATAATCTTATGAGTGGAGTTGGTCGACATCGAAATAGAACAGCAAGATCGAGTTTGTGCCTACTGCTTACGTTTTGGAAATAACATTATAGAGAATGATTTTTTTTACCAGAATGCGAAGCTTACCTTATTCGGGGCTTAGAAATAAATATGCAGATACTCAATATGATGTTAGTCCTACACATCAAAATGCATTGCATTATTGTCATCATCATGTAAATCTACTAACGTAGCTTTGTCAAATTTTGTATATTTTGCTTCTAAATACTACTTGGCAATGCAGTAACGACTTACATAGCATTATGACCCAATTTAATTTATCATAATATGATACGTAATTTCCAATAGTGCAATCAACCATATATATGTACTGTTTCTTTAAATGCACTACTTTGTACGATCTATTGTGTATGTGTGTCCAATGGGTCAATGGCCTGAAACGTCATGAATAAATCAATCAAACACATCAAACATACATGGAGCCCTAATAAAATGAGTGAGTGAGTGAGTGAGTGAGTTTGGTTTTAACCACTAGGCTACCCCCTAATGAAATGAAGATCATAACTAAAAAGGTGTTTTCCTTACATCCAAAAAAGGAAGCAGATATATCTATGGATAGTATTCATAGTGAGATATCTGTCAGTGAAATAGTTCCCGTACCTCTGCTGAGTGATATTGATATTGTCACATATATCGTATATAACCACTGGTAAAAGTTCAAGGTTACTTAGGTCGTAGCTCAAAGTCAGGATCCTGGAAGTGGCACTGCCACTTCATAGCAGAAGCGATCTCTTGACATTGGTAAAAGAATCATGACATTTGATAATTGACAGTTGTTTGGCCTGTTTGTTAGTTCCTAAACATTTCCGGCCAATAGTATTCATGACACACGCTGAATGTTTACAATTGGCTGATCAGCTGTTTGTGAAGACGGCTGTTCTAATAGAACACAAGTATTCCTAACCACTGACCACTGCTGTACATATATACATTCTTATGCATTACATTTTACTCCAGTAAATTATGGATATGTTTGTGTTTCGTTTCTTGCTATTAAATACGTTTTTGCATTTTTTTCTTACAATTTTCCGTTAGTCGAGAACTGCTTTCTAACTCGCACGTGAACCGTTATGTGTGTGGTTTGGTCACGGATGGGTTTCGGTTCTAACACTTAGTTTGAGAAGTAAAATCAAGCAAAATCACCTTGAATTATGTGATAATAAATATAACATTTAACGATGGTTGTCCGCGCATGACAATGTATTTGGCAAACACCATTTACATATCCTCAATGTATCGCCACTTTTCAAGAAATGCTGTCATACGTGAACCACAAAACATCGAGGTGTTTGGCGTTTGGCGAGGCAGAAACCGATTAACGGTACGATATTTTTTAACTCCCATAATTACTTTGAGCTCCTTGGTTAATCTCTACCAAATGCTTTAGCTAAATGATAACTTCTATACTACTAGTAGGTGTAAAAACGATTCCACTCGACCTACAACCTTTGACATAATACAAACACAACTGATTAGGTAAATATAATAAAATTTGAAGATGATGTCAACGATTGGTGTTTCCATTTGTGCTCAGAAAACACACACTTTTCCATTTAGCTCAGAATGTATAGAAGAACACCCCACTGTTAACTCGAAAGTACTTTATTTTTCACATACTTTGCTGTGTCATACTGAGTTTACGAAACTCGTGACAGAATTCATGTGTATCCTATGCTTTGGCCCTGGAAATGCAATATATATGACATACAAACAAATAGAACACAGAGTCCTTTCCATTTCTTACTATTACCTTCTCTCTGAACTCTTTTCTGTAGTTTTTATACAAATCAGATGAGGGGTTTCCCAGCTCAGCATCGAATGAAGCATTCACATTAACTGTAAAATTTAATTTGAACCGTGCTGTTTCTGTGGAGAAAGAAAGTTCGAGCTTAAAGGGAAATACCAAATGAACTATCATGTTGGCAATGTTTTGAACACGACAGAACAATCGAAAGAGTCTCTTCATTATGGGCCACATTGTACTCTTCAGTGTGTAAAGAACAATCATACTTTGCATAAGCAACAATCTAGGTGGGTGGAAACTGGTGATGAATTGAATAGGTTAGGTGAGTGAGTGAGTGAGTTTGATTTTACGCCGCTTTTAGCAATATTCCAGCAATATCACGGCTGGGGACACCAGAAATGGGCTTCACACATTGTACCCATGTCGGGAATCGAACCCGGGTCTTCGGCGTGACGAACGAACGCTTTAAGCACTAGGCTACCCGACCGCCCCGAATAGGTTAGGATTCTCGCAAGAAAATAGTACAACATTTCGGGGACAATGTATGCATTTAAATGCATGATCGGAACAGACTGACACCTTGGAGTAAATCAGCCTGGTTCCCTGGGTATGTTGCGCTGGCGCTACACCGAGCTCCAGTGCAGCATACCCAGAGAACCAGGCTGGGAGTAAATTGGCCTTCACATCAGTGGCTATAATCCTTATTGGCTTGCCAATATATGTATTGATATACGAATTCCTCATTCAAGTAACATTCTTATCAAATCGGATTCCGGGTTACAACTGGTCCAAAGCAACCTATGCTGGCCGAAAATAGCGACTTTGTGGATCGGGTTGTCAGACTCGGTGACTTGGTGGATTGTGTGTCATCGTACCCGGATGGCGTGGGGCGTTGTTAATAATATCAGTCTATGGTTTGTCTGGTCCGGACTTGATTATGTACATGCCATAGACATACAGCTGGAATATTGCTGAATGCGGCGCTAGCTAACAGGCAAACAGACAAAACTGATCTTATGTAGAATATCATGCTACCTTTGTACCGGCCTTTCAACGTCAGAGCATATGTATCAATGATTTCAGGATATGGTTTTCCAGTGAAAATAAATAATTAAGGTTTTTTAATGAAATACCTCCTATTTAGTGTTCAGAAACGTCCAATAATCTGTTGTGATTCAAGAGAATGAACTTACCTATATTTGGTATGGTGTTAGAGCCTGTAGTTGAATATTCTGCAATGAGAAAATTGAAAAAATTTCAGTTTAGAAACGTGTATTTTGTACATAACACCACAATAATGAGTTGGTGGGGTGGGGGTGGATTTTATGTGACTGTACTTGGGCGCTCCAGATTGAGGGACCACCCCCTTGAATTTCCTTAAGTTTGCTTATGTACCTCAGTATTTACTTCCATCGTTTTTTAGGCGGTCATTAAATAACCTCTTCGGCCTTTATTGTATATTAAACATGTTCTAAACGTACAAACTCTGGTAGTTTAAATGCTAATCCGAAGCATTGGATTAAAGTTTGTTTGCAAACACACTGAACACCTTGGGCTCGCTGCTTTGGATGAAAGTCCATCCGAGCAGTGGTCGGGTACTAGTTTTTAACTTCATTGGTTGGCATACTCCGGGAAAAATTCTCAAAGTTGGTCCGGACGCCGTTAACTTATACAGTTTCGACAACTACAATGCCTGGAGCGAAACGTTGTATGCATCATCCCAGCTGTGGTGTATCTAAATACTATTCACAGAATTCCGATTCCTTTTAAGACTTCAGCACTGTTTCGATACATATTTATGATCCCCTTTAGATGATTATCGCCCAATTTAGCAATGGCGACTAACACCTTAATGCCACAAGTTCAGTGACAACACTTCGGAAATTCTACGTGTCACTTTATGTCGGTCCTTATGACGTCGTCTATGTCAATGTATCACGACGCTCCGTCATTGTGACTGGCTGAGGCATTTCTAAAGAAATTGTTCATCTGACGCTTTGTGGAACCATATTTACCGCGAGAAAGTTGTTTTTGTTTTGTTTGTTTGTTTGTTGTTTAACGCCACACTCAGCAATATTCCAGCAATATGACGGCGGTCAGTAAATAATGGAGCCTAGACCAGAGAATCCAGTGATTGACATCATGAGCATCGATCCACGCAATTGAGATACGATGACATGCATCAACCAAGTCGCCTCTTACGACAAGCATAATTTCCTTTTGAGGCAAGCATGGGTTGCTGAAGACCTATTCTATCCCGGATCTTCACGGGTCGAGAAAGTTAGTAGCTGTATGGCTGTCATGGTACCCATTATGGCATGCGTACAGAGTGAAATGGTGTGCTAAAGTGAAGAAATACGTGCCTATTATACAACCTGTAATATAATTTATGTGATGATAAAATGTGTATTTGCACTTCAGTATTTCTTAAGACGTCAATACTTCGCGTTCTCGGAGCAAAGTTAAATTCCCCATCATCTTCATACTGGCCATCTTGGAAATCGGCACGCCAACTTCGACCTCAGACCTCAACACGATAGCGTAGATTAATGCCATACGCGGTTTCCCTTCCACCACGTGGACGTAGGGGTTCCCATCCTGACCTTGAATAGTTGTCCGCCATTACGCCTACATAGAGCATTTAAGCCAAATCGTAGGTGCTTTCACTTGGGGTGTATCATGCCTGGGATATTTAATATCTCAGATACAGCCAGCCAAGAAAGCACCCTAGTACCAGAAGGTCCCTGCTACAGTCCGCTTGGCTCCAAATGAGAACGATGAATTGCAAAATAACTCAAAATCGGGAGTATTTTATTAAACGTAATACAATGCACGTCGCTGTATAAGTGCAATACTCTTGGACGCGACGTTAAATCCCATTTCACCTCACCCATCTGTTACACGGCAATGATTACCCTGTACCCAACAATATCTCATGTTTGTTATTTTTATTCCCATCACTGGAAAATGTTGTTTAAGAAACTATCATGTTGTTATGTGTAACAGTTGACATCTTGAACGGAAGGGGGCACAGCGGTCGGAGGAACAGCGCAAACACGCACTTTGTCAAAGGATAAAACATGCTTGGCCCCACCTTCATGAGAGCTTCTCAAATGTAAAGCTTCTCCGCGATACGAAATTGAGATATAAAACTTTTTGTGAGTTCACTGGAGGTTGAACTGTCAACTGAATGAGGGCTAATCATTCTATGAAGGTCAATGCAAGCACCGACGTCAGTTTGTAAACCAAGCAATCAGCGTCCATTATGACGTATTAAATGTGACGTAACAGTCACGTCCATTAATATTTTTCAACAGCCAGAACACAAACAAAGCTTACCTTTTCCAGCTGAGGTACTTTGTGTCTTCGTGGGGCTAACTGTAGGGATTTGTGTCTTCGTGGGGCTAACTGTAGGGATTTGTGTCTTCGTGGGGCTAACTGTAGGGATTTGTGTCGTACTGGGGCTAACTGTAGGGATTTGTGTCGTACTGAGGCTAACTGTAGGGATTTGTGTCGTACTGGGGCTAACTGTAGGGAATTGTGTCGTACTGGGGCTAACTGTAGGGATTTGTGTCATACTGGGGCTAACTGTAGGGATTTGTGTCGTACTGGGGCTAACTGTAGGGATTTGTGTTGTACTGGGGCTAACTGTAGGGATTTGTGTCGTACTGGGGCTAACTGTAGGGATTTGTGTTGTACTGGGGCTAACTGTAGGGATTTGTGTCGTACTGGGGCTAACTGTAGGGATTTGTGTCGTCCTGGGGCTAACTGTAGTGGTTTGTGCCGTCCCGGGGCTAGCTGCAGTAGAGACAAAATCCTTTCCATAATCATAAGGAATCTATAAAAATTAATTAAAGCGTGAAAACCCCTTCCTTATCCAAAAGAAATCTCTGCATAGAGCAGAGTCGATTGTACGATTCCGACTTTATCATGAACATGTGTTTATGAATCACTATCAAATAGTAATCACACCAGCCGAGCGTATCCTGCCCGACATATGGAACATATGGTACAAGTCAAAACAGGGAATTGCATCGGACATCATTTTTGTCACTGATGCGTCAAATTTGGAAGTGTCCGCCAACATGTCTACCATAAAACTTTTTGAAAGCTTTACTGAGGTCTTGAACGTTGTAACCTTGATCAAACAACTTCTGAGTAAGAGTCGTTTGACGCTCTTTGAAATCTTGGTAGATAGAGCATGCTCCATTGTATCTCAAAAGTTGTGAAATGTTGATACCAAAGGCTCGAGCTGCTGCAATATTGCTTGACAAGAAGGGAAATGCATTCATATGCATTTAGAAACAGATCCGTAAGAAGGGGAGCACAATTGGTGCCCATGGGGATGCCTACTTGTTGCCTAAATGACCTATCCCCAAATTTTACGTGGATGTTATCAATAAGGAAGTCCATCATTTCACATATTGTTTTCTCAGTAAACGTTTTCCCAAATTGTCCTGAACCTCTGGATATAGATACGTATCTGTATCTGTGTTCACCACGTTTTGTCACAAAAGTCCCATGGATCAAGGAATAACTATTTTCCTTAAAGGTCCGAGTATTTCTCCCATGAGAGAAAATTGTTAGCCTAGCCCATGCCTACCAAGCCGAGGGGTGACTGCAACAGAAGCCGCATAGAGATCTCTGATTTGTGGTTGTGTCGACATGTGTCGTTTGTCATCGAATGGCCCTTCTAATGTAAATGTAGTGGAGTAAAGATAACATTCTGCAGGAAATGCTCCTGACAATTGTTGAAAAAACATTACACTCTGACAATAAACTCTGCAAATCTGCATTAGAATTCCAGTATGTTGAATCTATTTAACTTCTGTTACATTTTTATCATTTCTTCATTTTTATAACTATCTTGCATGCATTCTGTATATTAATGTGTGACAAGATTACGGTTAAAATTTAAAAATGCCTTTTGTAGAGAAATGAACAAAACGTATACTAATCATCAATCATTCAATCTTTGCAAAGAATAACGTTCTACACATTCTACACGTTCTGTAGTGTGTCATCCTTCTGTCTTTTCTCAGAGCTGAACATTTTCTGGTTATAAATAGTGGATAACTTTGACATATATAGAATAAACAAAGTCATGTGTTTTGTCCCGTCGCAGACATATCGTTCATTGATCATTATACTCTCATTTTAAAAAAGGGGCGGTCGGGTAGCCTAGTGGTTAAAGCGTTCGCTCGTCACGCAGAAGACCCGGGTTCGATTCCCGACATGGGTACAATGTGTGAAGCCCATTTCTGGTGTCCCCCGCCGTGATATTGCTGGAATATTGCTAAAAGCGGCGTAAAACCAGACTCACTCACTCACTCATATTAAAAACGCCCATCTGTCTACATTACCCTCCAAGACATGTCTGTGTCTCCAGTCCTTGGCTGCATCCTTCACTTCTCCCATCTTTCATAGATGGACTCGTCAAACGTCAGAAAGTTTGAATTTCTTGAGAAATTTCAAATTACTTTTCAAAATATCGATTCATGATTGCTATTTGAAAATTCTACTTATAAGCTGATTTACTCTCTGAAATGCCTTGAATAAATGGAGTGAAAATTTAGCATAGATATGCCTTTCAACCATCAATATTTTCAAAAGAGCAGTCCAAGTGATGCATCATTTCAACTGCTTGAAGTCAAGATTATCACTGCCATCTTTGGGAGAGGTCCACTATTTATAGAGGACGTAGGCCTTTAAGTTTGTCATGTGACTCCATTGTGCAGTTGTGGAAATAAGCTTGTGTTTATGAGTTGCTAATAAATAGTAATGATACCAAGTGATCGCAAAATGGTGAGCGTATCCTGTACCACCGGTGGCACCCGTAACAAACCGCTACCAACTCTTACAGTCATCAAATTAATTCCGCTAAATAAGTCACTTGACTAAGGACTTCACACAAATCATAAACAGTTTTATTATCGGGTTAAAACCATTCTAGTAGAGCGGAAAAGTGCAAATAAGATATAGTATTAGGGAAATAGTTTAAATGATGAAATGAGCATGAAACTGTACATGGATATTCTAATGGGTATGTCTATTAAGGTGAGGTGAGCTGCGGTGAAATGGGGTTTAACGTCGCTTCCAAGATTATTGCGCTTATATAGCAACGAACATGCACGTGTGGGTGTTGGTGTGGGTGTGGTTGTGGGTGTGGGTGGGTGTGGCTGCTTGTACTGGTCCGGATTGATGCCGGTTTATAGTTGCAGTTTAACATGAATAACCAACTCAGACACAGTATACTGATTTCGAGCCGGCCAGTCCTTGTTTTAGCCCCTTAATGCCGAGCGCCAGACAGGGTAACAACAAGTACCATCTTTTAACGTCTTTTGGTATGACGCGGCCGGGGATTGAACCCCGGATCTTCCGCTCTCCGGCGGACGCTCTTCCACTTGACCACGGAGGTGGTCTGTCTATTAAGGAAATACGTGAGCCACCTGAAAATCAAAGATAGCTACCATATTTCGAGATGGACGCCATTTGTCTCAATAATTGCCTATTCCTAACATAACGATTCACAGAATTGTCTTTTTTGTGATCTGAATGTTTTCAATATTTGTGACCATGGCGTCTGAAAACCGATCACCAGAAAAGCTAAACTTAACATTCTCCACAAATTAACGTCGCACCCATCATCAGGTTCTTTCCTGATGTGTCAGTTCTGCTGACTTGCGGGTGGAAAGGGAAGAAACTTTGTTTGACACCACATATTAAAATAAAATTTCAAAAACTGAGGCACGCATACAACCACCTTAACATTAAGTGTAACTTGTCATGCAGATGTATTTATTATATACTTCAGTTGGAAAAGGCTAAGTTTTCTGAAGTTGAGAAAAGTGATATTTTCATTGCAGTGAACATAACACTTTCTCGGAACTTTTGTCTTACAAGAGTTATCTCCCCGCAAATTATCCCCCTTTATCGTAAGTGTCTAGCCCATACACAACAAACTGTTGACTTCCAATTTACCTTAGTTTCACTTTGACATGACAAAGTAATGACAGATGGTCATTTATGGAGTTAATATCGCTTCTTGCCGTTTGTTATTCTCTGGAAGAAATACTCGGGCCTTTAAATAAGGAAAATAGTTCTTCCTTGAATACAGTTACGTATCTATATCCAGAGGTTCAGGACAATTTGGGAAAACGTTTACTGAGAAAACGTCTGAGACCTGCATCACTTGGGGCTTTCCTGTCACATTAAGCTGACACGCCGCGATATAACTGGAATACAGTTAAAAGCTTAAGCGGCGTTAAACTAAACTCACTCACTCACTCACTCACTCACTCAAAGTTATCCACTATATATAACCAGAAAATGTTCAGCTCTGAGACAAGACAGAAGGATGACACACAACAGGTGGACCTGGAGAGACATAATGCCCAACTGTGTGCTTCAGAAAACGTTTGACATCAGTGAGAGAATGTGTAGAACGTTATTCTTTGCAAAGATTTAATGATTGATGATAAGTATATATTTTATACATTTCTCTAAAAAAGGCATTTTTTAATAATATTTTATACCGTAATCTTGTCACATTAATATACAGAATGCATGCAAGATAGTTATAAAAATGAAGAAATGATAAGAATGTAACAGAAGTTAATACTGGAATTCTAATGCAGATTTGCTATAGTGAAAGAAAAAACATACACAGAGTTTATTGTTAGAGTGTAATGTAGATATTTTGTGGTTTTTGACAATATACAATCATTTGAATGTTTTTTCAACAATTGTTAGGAACATTTCCTGCAGAATGTTTTATCATTTCTTTACTCCACTGCATTTACAGTAGAAGTGCCATTCGATGACAAACGACACATGTCGACACAACCACAAATCAGAGATCTCTAAGAGGCTTCTGTTGCAGTCACCCCTCGGCTTGGTAGGCATGGGCTAGGCTAACAATTTTCTCTCATGGGAGAAATACTCGGACCTTTAAGGAAAATAGTTATTCCTTGATCCATGGAACGTGGTGTGACAAAACGTGGTGAACACAAATGCAGATAAATATCTATATCCAGAGGTTCAGGACAATTTGGGAAAACGTTTACTGAGAAAACAATATGTGAAATGATGTACTTCCTAATTTATAACATCTATGTACAATTTGTGGGTACGGATCTGTTTCTTTATGCATATGAATCGGAATTTCTGTTCGAATTGGCAAAGTCAAAACAAGGTTATTTGGCCAAGACGTTTAACTTAAGCTTAAGGTATATCGATGATCTGATATCGTTCAATAACAATCAAGTAGCCAATTCCCTTCCACTGGTTTACCCACCTGAACTAGAAATAAAGGAGACCAATGAGACCGCCTCTGCTGTTTCATATTTAGATGAATGCGTAAAGATTCAGAGTGACACAACACTCTCTACAAGACTGTATGACAAGAGGGATGACTTCAACTTTCAAATAGTCAACTTTCCCTGCATGTCGAGCAATATTCCAGCAGCACCAGCCTTTGGTGTTTACATTTCACAACTTTTGAGATACATTGGAGCATGCTCTCTTTTTACCACGATTTCAAAGAGCGTCGTACGACTCTTGCTCAGAAATTGTTTTATCAAGGTAAAAGAGACAAGGTCTCGCTAAAGCTTTCAAAAAGTTTTATGGTAGACATGTGGAGACTTGAATCATATGTTGCCATGTTTTTTCATGTGAACAATGGACATGCCTTTGCAAATGTTTGTGACGGGTGCCATCGGTGGGGCAGGATACGCTCACCTTTTCGCAAACACCTGGTATAATTACTATTTGATAGTGATTCATAAACACATGTTCATGATATAGTCGGAATCGTACAATCGACTCTGCCTCATGCTGAGATTTCTTTTGGATATGGAAAGGGTTTTGTCGCTTTATCTATATGATTATTATCAAGTGGGTCATGCCTAGGTACTATCATAATGAAAACACAATAACATGACTTTGGTTAAATACAGCTGATTTGACAATCACAAGAAGCTGTATGAATTTCGACACGACGCTGCACCCAACAGATTATATGTCCATTTCATTGTATCAATATAATGTTTAGACGGTTATCTTTGGATCAATAACTATAACCAACGAGCTGCGGGGAATTGCAAATAAATGTCCCCAGGGAATTTTGCGACTGCTGTCGCTAGAGCAGGACACACGTACCCTTTCCGCGAACACCTGGTGTCACCACGGATTTTCAGTGATCCATTCATATAACGTTCTTTACAATTTTGACCTTTACTCTCAGCGGAATTTGTTTAAGGTGATAATCGAGACTGATTATTGTCTGGCTTTTGAATTTACACCGAACCCAACTGTAGGATATTATGAAAATTATTGCAAATCATTAAAAAAAAGTTATGAGATTTTAACAATTGGACCCTTGGGACTAATAAATACACAGTTAAGGCAAAACGTTTCCAAAAAGACTGATTTTAGAGGTTTACATGAAGCCTTTTTCTAATGGTTGAAAATAAGCAACCCTTTCACTGAAGCTGATATTATGATGTAGATAAGACCAGTACAAACACAGGGTGAAAACTCATCTTGGGTCTGGGACTTGCTCATAAGTTCGACAAAATCAACCTTTTTCACCCATTTTACCCATACATCTGTTATCATTCCTGTCAGAAGTTCAAATTTGCAAGTGTAAAAAAGAAATATGAAACTTATCAACAATATTATCATATCTCATAGTTTTTATAATTCCAACATTTTCCGGTAATTCTTACAAACATGTTTAGACATAACTAGATGCATACCTAATTCATATAGGCTGTAATGACAATTACCTTTTTCTATTTATTTTCTCAGAATCTAGCGAATGTCATACCTGTTTCAACCAAAAGAGTAAACGCCAGCAGTAAAACGCCAACAGCTTTGAGCTTCATTATCCTGAATTCCTGAAATACAACAAACAGCAGTGTAAGAAAGGTCTACCACATTTTACAAAAGATCTGTTCTTATCAAATGTGCAGTCAGTTTGTGTTGTATGTATTAGCCGGTCAGAACGCTACACGTATAATCGTCGTTTTCTACAGTAACTTAATTCCTTGATGTTCTTGAATCCAAGTGTTGGTGGCTTATATGTTCATTTCATTGTATCAATATAATGTTTAGACGGTTATCTTTGCATCAATAACTATAACCAATGAGCTGCGGGGAATTGCAAATAAATGTCCCCAGGGAATTTTGCAACTGCTGTCGCTAGAGCAGGACACACGTACCCTTTCCGCGAACACCTGGTGTCACCACTGATTTTCAGTGTTCCATTCATATAACGTTCTTCACTATTTTGACCTTTACTCTCAACAGAATTTGTTTCGGTTGATAATCAATAACAAAGGTCTACCACATTTTACAAAAGATCTGTTCTTATCAAAAATGCAGTCAGTTTGTGTTGTATGCATTAGCCGGTCAGAACGCTACACACATAATCGTCGTTTTCCACAGTTACTTAATTGCTTGGTGTTCTTGAATCCAAGTATTGGAGGCTGTGTCAGGGAGTCGACTTTTTCAGGTTGGTATCCTACCCGCACTGGGCAAGTAGATACGTCACAAGTCAGATCGTACAAGGCCTCGAATCTCCCTCGTCCTGCGCTGATATAGGCGCAACCGGCCTTCTGGAAACTCTTACCTCCCAAATCCCGAAAGTGAGTTAGGAAGGTAACTCACGTGAGCTCTTGATATTTTACGAGCGCTTCCATTAGCTTCCACTAACAATCATCGTAAATAGACTTACAATATATATCACCAGTACGTTGTTAATTACATTCATTAAAATGCTTTCATTCCTGATTGCATCGTTTAATGACATTAATTAGTTTTAAAGATGACGTCACGCGGAGGCTCCTAATCAGAGTACTGCATCTCCAGTGTTTATAAGGTATGGACAACTTAGGTCTTACGAAGTATGACGCAAATCAGTTAACATGCGACAACATTCGTCAAGCAAGGTTAACTTGGGTTTTATCTTGGTCAACACGGGGTCACCTGGGTCATCCAGGGTTCATTGAGAATGGGTATGGTTAATTCAATGTCCAGGTACAGGGATAAAGTTGTTTGTTTGTTTGTTGTTTAACGCCGAACTCAGCAATATTACAGCTATATGACGGCGGTCTGTAAATAATCGAGTCCGGGCCAGTGATTAATATCAGCATCGATCTACGAAATTGGGATCGATGACATGCATCATCCAAGTCAGCGAGCCTGACCACTCGATTATATACTGAATATTGCTGAGTGCGGCATTACAAACCAACAACAATAATCAAATTCGATGTCCTTGGTCCGAGCACGACGCCTGGTTTCACGGGCCTTGTGATAAGTGGAAAGTGACGTGAGCGTGAACTGTTAACTGTATAAGCTGATATGGTATACGTTGGATTCGAGTGTTTGGCTGTACGCGAAGCCAAGGAGGATTAGATCTTGAGACGGTATTTTATTGGACTCGTCTTTGTTTTCGCAGCTCTTCCTTTGTATTCCGACAAGGTGCAGTCACTTGTCCTCGACCTATTTCACGATTGCATGCATACATTCTGGCAATACAAGGTGAACAGAGAAGACCATGAACTCGAATATAATAAGGGAACATTGTTAACGGTTAAACTGTAACGTGCAGAGGCCGTCGTTACATATGTGCAACATCAATTTAAGATATTTGTAACATTTAACATGCAGGATATGTGTACCTATGCCCAACAACAATAATAACAGTGATCATAATATTTACGGTTTTGTGTGGGGTTTTTTAAGCTCGTAACTCAAAACTCCTTTCTTATTCTTCTTTGGGTGTTGTGATGTTTAATTGGACCCCAGGGTATATCTGAAGATTTATAATTTTCGTGTATATTATTTTTGATACAACACTGTAATACCATCAACCTTTGTTTACCCGACTCGACCCTGATTTAAGCTGTTAAACTTCTGTCACATTGGGGTAGCGGAAATTTGACTCAACAATTTTGGAAGATTCATGCATTCCTAAATTGTACGAAGGGCCTTTGCATTTATTTTCGTATTTGACAGAATGTTGAATATGCTTTGACCGCATCCGCACTTCATATACCTCCTATACACCTTCGGGAATTATTTTGACACTTTATTATATGAGAGTGAACATCATTCAGTCTGAAGTAGGTCATCTTTCCAAGGTAGGGGAGTTCACTGACCATAAAAGTCCAGATTCCACCACTGTGGCTGGAGTTTCTAAGTTATATTATGGCTGGCCTGATGACTCTGTGCGAAGCCCATTCAAATATCGCGCAATCAAATCGACATCCGGTTTGTATACAAGGCGACATGGGGACAGTCAACTAGGCGCCAACCTTTGTGAATTGATGCACTTCGAGAGATAAGACACATTGTGATTTGATAATCTCTGATTGAACAATCTTAATCGTGTATTTTCCGAATTCATGGTATAATACAATATTTATTTCATCATGGCCCAGGCAGTACCTTTCAACATGATAACGTCCGGCCTCATATTACTCGACTTGTTCAGAATTCCCTTCAACAAAACAACATGAATGTCATCCCCTGGCCGGCTCGCTCCCCTGATCTCTCACTAATCGAGCACATGTGGGATAGATGGATCGGCGCCTTCGACGTCAACCACGTGTTCCACAGACAGAACTTCGAAACATGCTCCAGCAGATATGGACAGATATCCCACAGGAATTTGTGCGACGCCTGGTCCATTCCATGAGACGAAGATGTGTTGCTTGCATCGCAACCAGTGGTGGACACACACGCTATTGCTTTGTAAATTAACATTTTGGCATGTTGATGTTTTTTTATGAAATCACGCATTTTCTGAAGTCAGTATGGCAAATTAAACCATTTGAACACTTACAGGAGTCTTTTATCTGTTGCAAACCGAAATTGTTTCAGATTTGGTAAAAAACATAACTTTGCATTAAATCTTATTCAATGTCACAGGAAATTTTGTTGTTCAGTATATAATACATATATTTGTTTTATGCACTTTATTACGCAACACATGGGGATAGAGCAAACTTTAGTTCCTAAATGAATACTTGATTTTGATTCAAGAGAAAACAACACATTTTTCAAGTTCTCAGTGATACACAAACGCTTTCTTCTATACTTACCATATGTCAAGGTCATTAATGCATTGACGCATATGTGTCTAGTATGATTCAGACTGTATTTACAGTACGCTGCGGTGACTCGGAGTGACATTGAAGCTCAAGGTCATTGGACCGGAAGAGGGTGTCTGCGTTATAAAGTTGGCTGGTGGCATACGATCTTCTGTTTCAGCATTGTACAGTACTGAGTATATGTCTTCCCAAACAGGACATGGTCTATAAAGCCGAATGTGCCTATAGATAGATAGAGGATTCATCACTCGTGTGTTTTAATATGGGAAATATCAACCGAGTCTTAGTTAATCGGTATTTGCCGAGCCTTTGGCGAGGCAACTACCGATTAACGGGACGAGGTTGATATTTCCCATATTAAAAAACACGAGTGATGAATTCTATTTATCATTTTCACATTTTTGCTTCCAAATTAAGGAATAATTGCATTAAACATTAACATCAGCAACTTGTCGAAATCTTACGTATAGATCGTGCGTAGTGATACATGTTTTCCATAGCCATGTAAACCAAAATAAACAATTCGGTGCGAAAAAAAGTTCCTCGGATTATTTTAAACAAAATACTTGAACAGACTTTTGCAGAATAATTGAAACTTTAATAACGGTAACAACAACGATTCTGTGTAATCTGATTATATCTCTGGTGTAACTTCACTTATAATATATAGTTTCAAATCAAACCGCTCGCTCTTCCGGTTATCTAATTTGCATATCTAATTTGCATACTTATGTCATTGGGGTATGACATACATGTTTTTATGTCATAAGCTTATGTCATGGATAAATGCTTCAGTTAAATGATAGAATGTGGTTATAGACCTGTGGAGGACATTTCCAAATTTGACGCATCAATGGCCAAAATAATGTCGGATGATGTCGGATGAAATGAACACTTGACTTGCCTTGCGACTGGTAAAACCTTTTCGCAAACACCTGGTATCATCACAAATTGATAGTGATTCATGAACACATGATTTATGACTATTGAAATGGTTTGTCGCGTTTTGATTGAAACTTTGTTAGGAGCATGGACTTTTAGTTTTATTGCAAGACACAACAATAAGTCACAATGGTTTATGATACGTGTTTCAGGTGGGAATGTTTTGGGGACATTAATTAAATGAATGTTATGGATGAGGCAGGCTGCTTCCGTGTTTGCATGTCATGTAAACATCTCTCTCGTGAAATCAAGCTATTTATGTGTTCAAATTATCATTTTTAGTAATCAAAAACAAATCAAGCACATAATTAAGATTCTTAAACTCACAAATGCTCAAGATATAGTCGGAATCGTACAATCGACTTTGATTTTAGGAGAGATTTCTTATAAATATGGAAAGGGTTTTGTTGCTTTTATTTGACCAAAATGTTTGGGCTAACCAAATCTTACTGCCCGCAACATGCAGATGAAAAAATTCTTAAGTCTTAGAAAAAATAAAACTTTTCACTCAAAGGAAAGGTGGAAGACCCTTCTGACTGCGATTTGATAATTTGTTTCATAACAGTGATTTTGTCGCAGAATTGAGTTAGTTATGGACATTCCACACCATTGCACATCATTAACTACATTTAACAAATCTCCCAGTCTGGAATATTACTTAACGCGGCGTAAAACCACACTCACTGAACTCACTCACACAAAAGTAAGAGGTAGAAATGATATTCTTCAACTGAATGAAGAACAGAATAATAAAAATAATTGTTCCCAATTGACCTTCCACTGTTTTTGGTAACTGGTCGTTTACATGTCATGTGCTGACAAATTGAAGACAGGCACGTGTGTGGTAACTGATGACAAGTCGGACAACCAGTGTAATCCGTAACAAGGTTGCAGTGGTAAGCTGGTAAGTTATGGATGTAGGGTCGGACTGGCAGTGTAGACTGCAGACAGTCGTATTTATTCAATTGAAAGACCATCGGTTCATAGTACAGTACGAGAGATCAATCTGCATCTGTTATATATGTTAAAAGGTTGTTACGTTTCTTTGTGTATACGCTTTTGCTGGAAATAAAACATTCAATTCAAGTCTATCGGTAGATTTCTTGAACTGTACATCGTTTTCATCAGCACAGCATCTCTGTAAATGTTTTCTTCAAGGCCTTGCTGAAGCTGTCAAAGTTTTATGGTAGATATGTTGAGGATTTCCAAATTTGACACATCAGTGACAGATATTATGTCCGATACAATTCCCTATCTTGACTTGTTCCCGTGATTTTTTCAGGTGAACAGTTGACTTTCCTTTGCATGCGTTTGTGACGATTGTACCGATGGGGCAGGATACGCGCACCTTTTCGCGAACATCTGCCATCATCACTATTTAATACTGATTCCAAAACACATGGTGATGATATAGTCAGAATCGTACAATGGACTCTTATAATTATGGAAAGGGGTTTGTCGCTGTGTGATCTAATGTCAGTTTTGTGTGAGGTAGGAAAATACATTTATACGAGGAAGCGTACAAGGTATTGAGCAAAATGTTGTGGAGCCATCTCTGTTATCGGTACATAGGAAAAGTCCAAGGTGAAGGTCAGCTACCATCAATAACGCTATGAATCGATAGCGGCCTGACATCTCCTGCCCATGGAAGGGACGAGTATGCGAATTACATCCTGGGGATTGGTAGCCCACTCGGCCCGCAACGCAAAAGCCAACTGCTGCAATGTCTTGGGTTGTGGTTGGTCGCCGTCTATCCAATTCATCCCACAGGTGCTCCATCGGGTGCGGGGCGGTCGAGTAGCCTCGTGGTTAAAGTGTTCGTTCGTCGCGCGGAAGACCCGGGTTCGATTCCCGACATGGGTACAATGTGTGAAGCCCATTTCTGGTGTCCCGCGCTGTGATATTGCTGGAATATTGCTCAAAGCGGCGTAAAACCATACTCACTCACTCACTCTATCGGGAGCAAATCCGGGGATCTGGAGGGCCAGGGGTGTGACATCAACGTTGTTGTGTAGATAGGTTCTTGTGATCCGTGTTTTATGCGGTCGAGCGTTGTCCTGCTTGAATACACCGTTGCCGTTGGCTGCAATTTGAAGGACGTGTGGTAGGAGAATTTCGTTGATGTATCGTTGAGCCTGGATAAGGACCAAGCCTGTCCTGCCATGATGAGAGATAGTCGCCCACATCATAACGCTACTCCCACTAAACCTGTCCACTTCCTGTACGCAGTTTCTGGCGTAACGTTCACCCCGACGTCTGTACACCTCCACGGAGGAGAATTCTTGATTCGTCGCTGAACCAGCATCTCCATCGCAGTTGGGACATACCCTGTGTTGACGACACCAATGCAGTCGTTGTTGACGATGTTGTCGACTCAGTATGACGCGTCGAACAGGACGTCTTGCTCGTAGCCCTGCTGCTCTTAAACGGTTTCGTACGGTCTGGTCGGAGATTCTGCGCAGTCCGGGTATTTAGGATGCGGTTAAGGTGTCTGTGGTCCTCCTTTCACGTAGGTTGCGCAGTTGGATGTCGCGATCTCAGGTGGGGGTGGTTACTCTTGGTCGTCACGTATTGACCCATGCTGTTGAATCCGATCCCATAGCCTTGTGATGGGCGATACATTGAAAACCCTGGCTACAGCTGATCGGGATTCCCCTGCCTGCAAGCGGCCTATGACGTTGTTTCCTTGCACTTCTGTTAATCTTGTTGAACTGTCACTGTTCGATTGACGCAGATGCCAGGCAATCAAAAACCCTGCACTTTAATACCGTTCATGGTGCTGCTGCACGTGCAGTGCGTGCAGCTCCATGGCCCTTTTGTTAATGCACTGGGTGCGTTTTTCAGAATCGTACGTGTTTCCCGACTAATGGTTTGCATGTCCTTTGTGTGATCATTTTGATCCGGGAAATTTGTCACTGACACTATAACATTAAACCTCTTCATTTTGCACCTCTTGGTCCGCTAATTTTGCTTTTATGTCCAAATATATCCGTTTTGCGTTTCTGTTTTTGAAGAGTATATTATGACTGTCCCTAAACTGTGAGCGTTCACGTGTAAAATTACTGAGAGCGTTTGTATTTTACAATAAAATAAATCTGAAAACATATAACTTTGATCTTCTAAATGGCTTTCGGTTTCCATATTTCAACACGAGCCAGTTTATGAACAAAAAAAGAAAGAAAATTAATTGATATAAAATACGATTTGAAAAATTGATACTTTCTATGGAACAATCTAGCAATTTTTTACCAAGTTGCTATGTATGACATTTTAAAATATTTGACCAAACATAATGTTTCTTAACGATTTTGGACCTGCATTTTCTAACATTGATACATATTTGTACATGAAAATTCTTAACGTGTTTCCTTACGATTGACGCATCAGTATCATCTGTGTCATCGCTAACCGCATTTGCTTTAGATATAACAGGCGAGTCTTGTATATCGTGAGTCGTGTAATGGCGTAACATTATTTCTGATTTCTTTCATCTCATTATTATGAATAAATATATACATTCAATTTTGTTAGTTTCATAAACACACCAAGATACCATGACGTTCTTACCTGGAGCCTGTGCTCGCTTTGGTACCAGAATGATCTGTGAGATTACGATTACCAAACACCCTGACACCGGTATTGCAAGACACTATATCATGTGGCAGGTAAATTAAACAAAAAGGTTAACGGGTTGCTTTTCGTTTGACATACTTCCTTGTTTGTGCAAGATATCGACATGAAATTTACCTCGATGTAAGCAACGCTGGTATTCCACTACAGTTTTGTTCTGATAAATGGTGAATGTGCAAGGATGAATTGACCTCACTGGGATATATACAGCTAGAAATTAATTAAGCATCCCCTGGTTTTGAGACCATATCTGATCAGCAACAAGGTATCATTCGCGGCAAGCCTGAGCTATGGTGGAGAATTACATGTCTTGTGTAGAATGATACTCTTGACTAATGAAAACACAGAAAATGATTGAAATGTTCAGTAGTTTAAATGTATCAATAACACAGTTGCGATAGTACTGTAATTGAGAAAAATTGATAACCACGAAAAGTGAGGATCTGGGAAAATCCATGATCAGGTATGAAAGACCATTATAAACTGACGTCCAAAAGAAACTTTACAAACTGAAAATATTTTTTTCGATGAAGTCTATCTAAAACACATAACCTAAATACAACAATAGTGTATGCAGAAAATGTTAATCGTCTGTTACATGTTTGCGAGATAACACGCGAAAAAGTGAAAAACACGTGCACCACGGACAACTGCAAATGCACGTATGGGTAAAGGTATAAAACGATTGCAACGGCAAGTCAGACATCCACAGTGATAAAAAAACACAAAAGAAATGCCACGACTCACAGTCGAACAACGTGAACGAGCCTTGGGTATGGTAGAGATGGGAGCCACCCACGCCCATATTGCACGAACCTTCGGTTGCTCCCGTGTTGCCGTTACCAACCTGATGCAACGTTACAGACAGACAGGGCGGATCGCTGACAGGCCAAGAAGAGGCAGACCCAGGGTGACCACGCCCCATGATGACCGGTACTTGCGTACCTTGCCCCTCCGAAATCGCTTCCTGACAGTGACGTCATCGGCGACAAATGCCTTAGGTCACAGGGTTAGTCGACAGACAGTTGCCAGGAGACTCATGGTTCATGGAATCAGGGCTTTTAGACCATACAGAGGACAGCTATTGACAGCGCAACATCGTCGTCTGCGATTGAGATGGGCCCGGACTGTACGACGTTGGCAACGACGTGATTGGCAGAGGGTTGTCTTCACTGACGAAAGTCGATTCTGTATGTTTAGGGCTGATGGAAGACAACGTGTTTACCGCCGAAGGGGTGAACGAACGGCGGCGTATTGCGTGCAGGAGGTCGTACCATATGGTGGAGGGAGTGTCATGGTGTGGGGAGGGATCTGTGGGCAGGAGAGGACACCGCTGGTCATCGTTCACGGAAACTTGACAGCTCAGCGGTACATGGATAACATTCTTCGTCCAGTTGTCCTACCATTTCTCCAACAGCAGCCACGTGGTGTCATTTATTAGCATGACAACGCTCGAGCCCATACAGCCAGAATTGTCACTAACTTCCTCGCTGCCAACAACGTCAACGTCCTGCCTCGGCCTGCACGCTCTCCCGACATGTCCCCCATAGAACACCTCTGAGACTTGATGGATCGTCGTGTTCGACAACGACTACACTCTCCAGCCAACCGGCAAGAACTGATCTTGGCCCTCCAAGATGAATGGCGTTAAATCCCAAGTGACCTCATCAGACGACTATCTTTTTCTGTGCGTCGAAGAGTTTTTGCGTGTATTGAGGCATTTGGTGGTCACACTCGCTACTAATGACTTGTTATTGAACTTAAGCGATTGTTTATGTACTCTGCCTATTGTCCATGATTCTGAACGCTCGAGTTTTGTACCACACCCAACGTTGGGGGGCTCTGACGTCATTCTCGGTCGCGGTATGATTGTCATTTTCAGTGTTGATTATGTTGATATATTGATCTTCTCAATACACTTTACTTTATGCATGTATGTTTTGTTGTTTCTGAGCAAAAGTTTTATTTCAAACTCTGATAAAGATTCTTTTGGACGTCAGTTTAGTCCAAAAACGTTCATTGTAATCTAACAAAGATAATCACAATCCCGAAAGGGGGCACGGGTGGCCCAGTCGCTAAGGCGCCGCGATTTGCTGTGCAGATTTGCGTAACTTGGGCACGCCAGAAACCTACGATAGTGGGTTCGAATCCCGGTTCGCCCCGATTATATTTCTAGGTTTGTCAGCACCATACCCGTGCTTGTGGGTTTCACCGAAGTGGTAAACGTCTGAGACCTGCATGACTTCGGGCTTTCCTCCCACATTAAGTTGACACGCCGTGATATAACTGGATTACTGTTCAAAGCGGCATTAAACCCAACTCACTCACTCACAATCTCGAAAATCAGTAACGAGTGTAAACGTCGTGTGGGAAGATGACAGATTCTACCCCTCTCATTCCTCCAGTGAGTCTTCTGATACCATCAAGAGGAAGATGCTGCCACTCCCGATGTTAGGCAGCCTCTTATGCTGTCGCATTCTGTACTGGTGGGTCCATTGCCTTAAGTCGACGTCCATGAATGTCTCAAACATGTTCGAATGGATTCTAATCTTGACTCTTAGCGAGGCAAGGCAAAGTGTCAATTTAGCGTGTCCTTGCAGAAATGCAGTCACAACACGAGTTCACGTCCTTGAGCACAGGTAGAGTGGCAAGTGCACGATTTCCGCAGAGATTGCCTCCTACTGTTGCCATGTCCAGGTTACAATCATGAGATATGACGGTGCCTCCATCATACGGGACTGTTGCTACAATGTTCCTTGGGGTATTCAGACCAATGGTTCCTTTGCCACGTCTAATGACGTCCAGACATAACCCAAGCCAAGCGAAGTCTCTGATGATGTGCAGTTTACAAGGGATTTCGTATGAATATGGATAGGGTTTTAATGCCATTATTTAACCATATATTGGATTTACATGTGCGAACATGCACACCATGTTCCAGGGTTAAATGAATCTCACTGCCAATACAATCAAGATAGAAAACTATCATTGTTTTAAGAAGACATTTTGTCACTCAAAGGCACAGAGGGAAGCCCTTTCTGACTGGAATTAAATTATTTGACTCATAACGGCGATCTTGTCGGTGCGTCGAGTTGGTTATAGTAACTCTCTTTCTATCGACGAAATGTACTATTACACATCTTCGACTACATTTAACAACTCTCATTCCAGTCAGGAATATTGCTTAACGCAGCGTAAAAACATACTCAATCACTCATATTTCAATAAAAGTAAGAGGTAAAAATGATATTCTTCAACTGAATGAAGAAAAGAATTATAAAAATAATCGTTCCCAATAAATCTTCAACTGTTTGTGGTAGCTAGTCGTTTACATGTCATGATCTGATAAATTGAAGACATGCACGCGTGTGGTAACTGATGACAAGTCGGACAACCAGTGTAACCCGTAACAAGCTTGCAGTTGCCAACTGTCTTTCGAGTAGGAGCATTTATCAGCGCTGAGAGAGCTGGTAAGTTATGGATGTAGGGTCGGACTGGCAGTGTTGGCGTGGATGGGTTGTTATGGGCTCCCTGTCTATCGGGTATCGGCGGGTGGAGGGCACCTTGACTGATTGCGACCCGAGTGGCCGCACGGCTGTTTTGTGTTTAGGAGTTAAAGATATGTTGTCTTGAGTTTTGTTACCGCTTGGATTATGGTTTTGTGAAAGCTCTCAGCAGGTATTCATTGAGGCAGACAGTCGTATTTATTCAATTGAAAGACCATCGGTTCATAGTACAGTACGAGAGATCAATCTGCATCTGTTATATATGTTAAAAGGTTGTTACGTTTCTTTGTGTATACGCTTTTGCTGGAAATAAAACATTCAATTCAAGTCTATCGGTAGATTTCTTGAACTGTACATCGTTTTCACCAGTACAACGTCTCTGTAAATATTGTATTCTTCAAGGCCTTACTGAAGCTGTCAAAGTTTTATGGTAGATATGTTGAGGATTTCCAAATTTGACACATCAGTGCCAGATATTATGTCCGATACAATTCCCTATTTTCGCGAACATCTGCCATCATCACTATTTAATACTGATTCCAAAACACATGGTGATGATATAGTCAGAATCGTACAATGGACTCTTATAATTATGGAAAGGGGTTTGTCGCTTTGTGATCGAATGTTCTGGTGTCAGTTTGAACAAATCTGTTGGAGTCAATTGTCCTCATCCCATGGATAACGTTTCATCACATACTAATTTTGCAGCCCAGTGTGTTACATCATAAGCATCGATATACACAAATGGGACACGGTGACCTGCGTGAACAAATATAAAAGCAGTGACGTGGTCATCCATGGGACATCTATTACAAGATATGTCAGTAGATATATCATTGTTTAAGCCAAAGGATATACTGCCCATACACAAACTTGAAAGTTACTGATAAAGTTGAAGGCTGCACTGGTTAACTGTCTGTAGGTGTGATAGTAACAGAACCGCTTGTATCGCGCACAACACATTTCTTATAAGTGAATGCTTGGACGGGCCGGATCAGCTCACCCGGCGGGTTAATGAAGGGAAGATCAATTAAAAAAGATCGCTCTCGAATACTGAAGTTAACTGCCGCGCAGAAAAAATGTTCACCCATGTTTACTGTTGGCTAAATATGAAATAAACAAGACATGGTTATTCGATGGTGATGTATATGACACGGGTAACACAGTTGTGTGTGTGGACGTTTTCAGGCTTGTAACGTTTTGATGACGTTTGTATTTTTTTCGGTTAAATCCAATTTTCAAGTGTATACTTTCTTTTGCCCGTCAGAGTACTATATTAGCTTACTTCACGCTTATCTTTGTGAGTGAGATTAAGTTTAACGTCACATCGGCAATATTTCAGCGATATCGTGACACTCTTATCTTTGGGACATGTCTACATTTTACATTGATGTCATTTTGACCAATGTCAGTGAAAACACCGATACCAGCTAAACCTCCCCGAGACACT